TACGTTTATATGCCACACAAATGGCTCCCTCTGGTAAAACCTCAATGGCCTTTTTATCGTTACAAATAATTTCTCTATGATGTTTTTTTAAGATCTTACGGATATCTGGTCCTCTGGGATTGTATTTGGTCGAAAAAATACATAAATTCCTATTATCTTTTTCTTTTTTTTTTCTTCTTTTTCATGGCTTCATGCCTACTAATGGCTGCAACCTCCGCAAATATATTTTTAACATGCTGTTTATCATGCCCACTGGCTATCAAATAATTAGCATACTCATTACATTTGTTATGAAAATCATCCTCATCCGAACATATTCTCCGTATTCTTAACGCTACTCCTTTAGCTATCCCCATTATCTGGGACTTTGGACGACACGATTTGGCATTTAAATATACATGGGCATCTGTGGGCTTACTATACACCGATGTAACTAAACAATTACCCTGATTGGTAATAGATAAATCTAAAAAATTCAAAGACTTTCCACCGATGTCCATTGTAAATTGTAAGTTTTGATCAAAAAAATTGAGGGCAGTAAAAAAGGTATTAAGCCTTTGTACTGTACCTCTCCAAAGCACAAATGTGTCATCTCTAAAACGAAACCAAACCCGCAATTCTGGAAAATTTATTTTAGATTCTATAACTCTTAAATCAACACATTCAGCGACAATATCTGCATATGAGCAAGAATTCTTAGGACCCATTGCAGTACCATCTGTTTGTAGCCAATATTGTCCCTGATATGTGGAACAATTCTTATAGAGGCAGATCTCCAAGGCCTATGTGGAACAATTCTTATAGAGGCAGATCTTCAAGCTACAGTACAAAGGCTTAATACCTTTTTTGCTGCCCTCAATTCTTTTGATCAAAACTTACAATTTACAATGGACATCGGTGGAAAGTCTTTGAATTTTTTAGATTTATCTATTACCAATCAGGGTAATTGTTTAGTTACATCGGTGTATAGTAAGCCCACAGATGCCCATGTATATTTAAATGCCAAATCGTGTCATCCAAAGTCCCAGATAATAGGGATAGCTAAAGGAGTAGCGTTAAGAATACGGAGAATATGTTCGGATGAGGATGGTTTTCATAACAAATGTAATGAGTATGCTAATTATTTGATAGCCAGTGGGCATGATAAACAGCATGTTAAAAATATATTTGAGGAGGTTGCAGCCATTAGTAGGCATGAAGCCAGGAAAAAGAAGAAAAAAGATAATAGGAATTTATGTATTTTTTCGACCAAATACAATCCCAGAGGACCAGACATCCGTAAGATCTTAAAAAAACATCATAGAGAAATTATTTGTAACGATGAAAAGGCCATTGAGGTTTTACCAGAGGGAGCCATTTGTGTGGCATATAAACGTAATGCCAATTTAAAAGAATTGTTGGCCCCCTCTAATCCTTTTAAATTTAAAAGCCAGTCGTATAGGGAAACTACAGGCTGTTTTAGGTGTAAAGCTAAGCGATGTGACTGTTGTAAAAACTTTTTAGAAGAAGGTTCCACCTTTAGTTCCACAGTTTCTAAAAGAGTATTTCAGATTGGTAAAGATCTTACTTGCACCTCCGATAATGTTGTTTATCTTGCTAGTTGTGTTGCTTGCAATTGCAAGGAGTGGGTTCTACTATCAATTTTAAGACCCGACTCGCTAATTACAAGTCTCACATTAAACTGATCGTCACGCACCAGTGATAAATAAACGGGTGAGAGGAATTGATTGTCCATGGTTGAATGGGGAGATTAAGAAAGTCATGCATGAAAGAGTAAACAAAGCAAAATAGCTCGTAAGACTAATTCGACTGCAGATTGGGAAAAATATAAGACACTTAGAAACCGGGTCACTGCATTGGTGAAATCAGCGAAAGGAAGTTACAATAGGAAGTTAATTGAAGATAATTCTGGAGACCCCAAGTCCTTTTGGAGGACATTAACTAGATTAATACCAGGGAAAAAAGTGCTTCCTAGGAATATTAAAGTAGATAACATGTCGCTGCATTGTTATTCGAAGATTGCAAATGGTTTCAACAAGTTTCTTGTTGGCACAATAACCCGATTAACCGAGGCCATGGGATCCGTTTTTACATCAGGAGAGGGTTTTGGCATGTATTGGAGAAGCAATACTCCAAATGAACTGTTTCATTTTGAGGAGATATCGGAAAATTTTACGCTTGGCAACTTAATAAGTTGAAAAGTAAGAAAGCAGTTGGATTAGATGCAATTCCCACGCGGCTCCTAAAGGACTCGGCTGAAATTATTGCAAATCCACTAACGAAAATAATAAATTTTTCGCTGGCTAACGGATGTGTCCCTAGTGAATGGAAAGAGGCAAGAGTTATCCCACTTTTTAAATCGGGAAATCAGATAATATGGATAATTACCGTCCGGTATCAATTCTACCTGTTGTTTCCAAGATATTAGAGCGAGCTGTCCACACTCAACTCTACAAGTTTATGGTTGATAATAACTTGTTGAGTCCGTATCAGAGCGGTTTTCGCAAGCGTCACTCGACTGAAACTGCCTGTATAAGTTTTACTGATAGTATTCGACGTGGCATGGATCAGGGTATGCTTACAGGGTCTGTGTTTATTGATCTTCGCAAGGCCTTCGATACGGTCAACCATGGTTTACTTTTGGAAAAATTGCATGGTTATGGGGTTACAGGCGGTGAACTGGATTGGTTTAAGGACTACCTATCAAATCGTAAGCAATTGGTTGACTATCTCAATACCTATTCTGATCCACTACCATTAAATTCTGGTGTCCCGCAGGGATCCATATTGGGACCCCTGTTGTTTGTCATATTCGTAAACGACTTGCCGAATGCTGTGAACTCTTGCTCAATATTGATGTATGCGGATGACACGGTAATTTTCTACAGTGGAAAAAGTGTGACTGATATCGAGAATGTTCTTTCATCCGATTTGAACGCACTAAATTCCTGGTTGAATATGAATAAACTTTTTCTACATGCGGACAAGTCGGAATGTGTTCTTTTTGGCTCTGCAAAGCGGTTGCATACGATAGAAAATTTTGAGATTTCCATAAATGGGCAAAGGATTAAGCAAGTGTTTAAATACAAGTATCTTGGTGTTGTTATGGATGATTGTTTGTCTTGGAGAGACCATGTACACCATGCTTTGATGAAAGCATCCGCGAAAGTTGGAATGTTAAGGAGACTACGGAATGATATTTCGATGCATACTGCCAACATCGTTTACAAATCCTATGTTCTACCAACATTGGACTATTGTGATACGGTCTGGAATTGTTGCAATACCGGGGATGAAGAAAAGCTTGAGAAAATACAACGTAGAGCAGCAAGGATAGTGATGAAGGTGAACTGTAGTGATGACGCGTTACATGATTTGCGATGGGAAACTCTGAAAAACAGGAGAGAGCAGCATGTTCTTAAATTAGTTAAGAAATGTGTGAAGGGAATTGTTCCTCAATTCTTATGTGACTATTTTAGTTTTAATCGTCAATTGACAGTAAGAACTACCCGCCAAAGCAATTTATTGCATCTGCCAAAAGTTAGAACAGAAATGGCGAAGAAATCTTTTTACTATAATGGAGCTAAGGTTTTTAATCGCTTAGGTCACAGTCTTCTCTAGATACTTTTAAACTTTCAATGGATTTTAACTTAAGTAATATATTAATATCATATCATAGCTAATAGTCTGACATTAGTGTAGTTTTTATAACATAATTGATAGAATGTACTATAGAACTTATTGTAGTTATATAGGGCTCTCGTTGATAACAGACCAGTTGTGGTCTGATGAGACCACCCTATCAAAATAAAAGTTTTATCTATCTATCTATCTTAAACGTAATAAAAGAACCTGTGGTATTGTTAACCATTTTCTGGATTGTCATGGTGCTGATTATTTATTGTTGAAATTCATGTTAATTGATCAGCGCCAGGGCAACCTAAGGGAATGTGAAAATTTTTGGATTGGTATGCTATTGACTAATCAAAGAGGACTTAACTCTACGCATGATTTTGTACAACAATACGATTAGATTAATTACTTAGCATGCTAAATAGTATAAATGCCATGTGCTGTAACTTAGTTTTTATTCTGAGGAAGGCCGTGTCAAGTGGCCGAAAATTTATTTGTAAACTTTACTTTAGTCATCTTTAATAAATTCTTCGATACGTAGCCATCTCTTTGTCGTAATATTATGTGCTGTTGGCTAAGGCAAGTTTTGGTCATTGTCGTATATATATATATATATATATATATATATATATATATATATATATATATATATATATATATATATATATATATATATATATATATATATATATATATATATATATATATATATATATATATATATATATATATACACAGACGACAACGGACATAAATTCGACTGGTCTCAAACGAGATGCCTAGGACAAGCAACTACTAAACATGCAAGTGAGTTTAAAGAAGCGTGGCATAGTTTAGACAAACAAACATTTAACCGTCACATTGACATCCCTACAATTTACTTACAACTGAAACGCTCGCACAAATCTCCTAATTCATCTTCATTAACCTTTAACCCACCCTCAACTTCCTTCCCTACACCGTCTCATGATAACAATAATCACCCGCATTCGATAGTAACCAATGGCAACCAACACACTGAAATCCATCAACCAATCAGACGTTCCCACAGACTTCAACAACGTCAACAACAGCGCGAAAATTCAAATGATCAATCTTTCTGATGAAGGCTCGAAGTACCGAGTCGAAAGCTCAAAACAAATAATTACAATCCGGAGAACACTGTATAATTTTGTAAAAATTATAATTTAATATATATATATATATATATATATACATATATATATATATATATATATATATATATATATATATATATATATATATATATATATATATATATATATATATATATATATATATACACACAGTATATTCGACCCACATACCTATTATGTCGCGAATTGAAGTCCTGTCATTTGCCCTTATTATTAAAGTCCACTCATATTGACGCTTGATAATAAAAAGCCTCATGAACCATTCGTTCTCGATTCAAGTTTTTCTTTAAAACAGTCGGAAACCTTTATCCCAAGCTGTGTCGATGTCCAATGGCTTTGATGCCTACCGAGCGAAGCATATTTATAACGAACCAGCAAAACTATTTCATTTTCGGATTCATGATTTCATTTTCAGATTCAAATCCGAAAAGAGCCGCGGGTGAGTTTCATAATAAAAGCGCAATAACTTCGAAACGGTAAAAGCAATCGACAAAATATTCAATGCCATTTTCAATAACATTAAATGAATGAAATAAAACAATTTAGGCATTTCTAGCTTGTCAGGTTTTCCCTGGAAGCCGCGCAGAACATACGTGATTAGCAATTTATGCAGTATAATGCATCAATATATAAATATAGATTTATCAGCCGCAATACAATATTACTATAAAAATAATACTAAACTGATAATGTACTCTATACTATATTGATTATAATGTGAAAATTATCCATAATATCAATATATCATGACATATGCATGTGTATTATTTCGAATAACATTATACTATAACATAAATCTCTACCTGACATTCTTCAAGGAGTGAACAAGTTTCCTTTGTACTATTAAACTTAAATTTTCGGCAAGATATCGCGCTTCGCCGATGGGACATGTTATGAGGGAAATTTCGCGGCAAGGCCAAAACACTTGGAAGGTTGAGAAATGATAGAATATATTGCTTTGATATATCAATCAAGAATGGCATGAAGTCGTTAAAGGAAACTTCGCTTCGTTTACTTTAGCGGAGAAATGCTATACATTACATGTATGTCCGCAACAAGTGTCTGACTGATTCTTGCATGACTGAGTCACGTTCTGTTCGTCCAGTCGGTCCCGAACAAGTTAAGAATGTCTGTATTGCTTAGTTGAATTTTCCGTATGCCAATGCAAAATGGCATGAAAGAATATTTCGATAGATGCAGCCGTTTTAAAAATAATATAATATAGAACTAAAGTTAGCCGTGATTTACCTAAAGCATTCTGAGTATTTTATCGTGAGCTTACGGGCTTTTGCGCGGTTCAGAGGCCCTGGTATGGGATCGGAAAATGTATGGTCAAGCAGATCTTTTTAGAGTGGTGCTGGAATTCCCAAGGGGGGGGGGGTGCTAGCCACTACGAGGTGGTTGAAAGTGACTGTTTGTCAGAACGGCTCTCATAGTTATAGTTAGAAAAACTGAATGGTATCAGACTGTCAAGAGAAATTAAGTAATTAGGGCGAGGTCCGCGTAGGCCGTGGCGGTATATCCGATATAGTCGATAAATATCGAAATTTCAAAAATATCGATATTCGATTTTTCGAATACCAAGAATATCGAAAATATAGAAAAAATATTATAAAATAACATGTATAATATAACGCGTGCTCTGATTGGTCGAACTCCGTGTTTGGATCAGGCCATCCAAACACGGAAATTTAAAGTGAAAGTTTTTTAAAGTGAAATTTTACAGTAACACGGAAAGTTGTTATTTTATAAAACAATTACTTTATGGTTTCCGTGTTTGGATGGCCTGATCCAAACATTTGGGAATGTTGCTCGAGTTAAGAAAAGCGCGCACTTTTCGCGCGCTTTTCTTAACTCTCGCCGACATTCCCGCGCGTTTGGATCAGGCCATCCAAACACGGAAACTATAAAGTAATTGCATATCGAAAGTTTTATCGAAATTATTTCCCCGGTAAAATCTAGAAAACACGCGCGGGCAAGTTTTTATCACAAAAGATCGCAACCACACTACTCCACTGAAGTGGCAGTTCAACGCTTGAAAACAATAGCTGTGTGATGACTCATAAACATTGAGTGCAAATAGTAAATAAATCTTTTAACATTCATAAAATGACCACATTGTAGTAAATAAACCTTTTGATATTCGATTAGTTTCACTCAACTTTGTTTTTTGCTGTTTTTGACGCGGTATACATTTATTTTGCTGTTTGTGATGCGGTATAGTGACTAACTACATTTCGTAATTTGGCTAATTCGAATATTTTCGACATAGACATAGTCGATATTTTCTTTATTTTTTTTTCGATATCGATACATCGAAATTTTCCATTTCGTAATTTGGCTAATTCGAATATTTTCGACATAGACATAGTCGATATTTTCTTTATTTTTTTTTTTCGATATCGATACATCGAAATTTTCCAATACTGCAACAGCCCGTCCACATTACCAAATACACAACACATCTCCAAAATACCAAGCTATTTATTGCGCATTATCAAAATCAATGCCAATGGACCTATTACTTATGAAAGAAAATTTTGATCTAGACAAGTCTGGAAAAAAATTTCATCACAGCTTGAAAGAGCATCACACAATTAGTAATACTGTTCCAAAGTTTCGTTGTGAAATGTTGTAAAATGCGGATAATATAGCCCGGCGAAGTTTGTCGTTTTTCAGTCATTTTGTATTACGCGCGGGAAATTGACTTTTTTCAGAAAGCGGTATCAATTTCCCGTGCGTAATACAAAATGGCTGAAAAACGGCAAATTTCGCAGGGCTATATTATCCACATTTTACAACATTTCGCAACGAAACTTAGGAATATTACTAATTTTGTGATGCTCTTTCAAGCTGTGATGAAATTTTTCGTCCAGACTTGTCTGGATCAAAATTTTGTTTATTAGGTACCGGTAATACGTCCATTCACACAAGTGCAATTTTAAAATTACCATACCCTTAATTTGTCAACCATTTTGTAGTCATTATACCCTCTCCATCCCACTACTTTCCGGTGCCATTCCATCTATAATATATTCATCATTAAATATCTAAATTTGTTGCCAATATTCGCCAAGGCAGTCA